TTATAAACATAATTATACTTCAAATGAGGAAAGAGGGCTTACTATTTCTTAAGAACAAATCGAATGGGCACTTGTTTGGAGTTACACTAATAGTAGCTCTTACGATAAAGAGTCAAAATTTCGGTCGTAACAGTCTAAAAGGGTTCCATTTTACCAAACTCACTTTTATACAGGGTTGTTAACCACATACGACACGGAGTATTGTAGCCAAACGATTATATTTTTTCAAATTGTAAGTTTTGGGTTCATTGAAGGACTATTAGAGCTACAATTTAAAAATATTTTTACAAGATACAGTGTCCCAAATAAGTAAAAAATATTATAGTTGTATTTTTTTAAATGGAACACCCTGTATATTATATTATTTTTGCATTCTACGATTGAAATAAAGGTAAATTTGATTAAGGTTTATCACACTTAAACCTTACCGTTTTTGAAATATTTTCAATTTTATGAAATTGCAGTAAAAATTTTAAAGCTTCATTTCCCCAAGGGAATTATTTATTGATCAAATATTGTGTTGCAATAATAAAAATTTTACTACCATATACAGAGTGTCCAAAAATTTATATTAAATAATTACTAGCTATAAACAGCAATAAGTTGTTTAATTTAAATGGAACACACTGTATATTTTACGTGAATCATATGCACAATTTAATTGTCTATCAAATTGTATTATACCATTTTATAACTTGAAGAGATGTAAGAAATCATCTCTTCAAGTTTTCGTAGAAAGTGAATTTTCCTACAATTTAGAACTCATGTATCACTATACCCATGGAATATTGACATTTATGATTTTTTAAAGCAACATATTATATGTACAAAATATACAGGTGGTAAATATTGCAAGCCCATTGGTATACAAAAAAACTATTTAAGTCTTTGTAAAAGGGTATGCCAATTAAATATACCACCATTATTTCCGAGCAAAAATTAGTTAATTACATACTTTTAAATTGTTTTAATTAATAAAGTATTCTAAATAAATGTGGATTTGGCTCAGAAATCAATATAATAATAAGTTATGAAAATAAACATCTCTGTTTTTATAAATAAGCATTCGTCAGAAAATGAAATAAAATTTATTAGATGTTACTTTTTACCACACTGTCTAATACACACACAAAATTCAGTTTTTTAGTATTTGGAGCAATTATTATTAATCAACGTAAACAGTCAATTAATGTTGTTTGAATACTGGGATCATATTGATTGGTCCTCTACAACAAAATATATTTAAACAGTTTGTTTTATTTTTTAATGAAATAAGCGGACAATATCGACAATGCTAGTATCTGTACTCTTTGAAAATTTGGTACATCTTTAAAAATAATCTAAAATGTCAATATTCCATTAGTATAGTGATAAATGAGGTATAAATTATAAGAAAATGCATTTTCTACGATAACTTGAAGAGATGGGTAAAAAATTGTCTAATACATACAGTTGATAGACAATTACATTGTGCATCTGATTCACGTAAAATATATAGGGTGTTCCATTTAAATTAAACAAGTTATTGCCGTTTAAAACTACTAATTATTTAATATGTTATTGCATTTGACATTTCCTCTAAGATACGCTGCAGTTTGCACTGGGTGTGTTCTACCAGTCTTCCATATCTCTTCTATCATGTGTCATCGATCTGCAGTGGCCCATGTATAGTGTTAATTAGATTTATTTATTTATTAAATTTAATTAAGTCACTGATTAATTGTTCGAATATGAACAACTTCTACGGAAAAGCACGCCTTTTGAATCTTTAAATATACAGGGTGTTTCATTAAGATTTATTTTTCTTATTAACATACGTCCGATTCTGCTATGTTTCGTAGCTATAAGTTGTTAGTCTTAATATTTTTTCGATTCATTATAATTTACTTCCAAGTACTTTTAGCGTTTCGAATGAAATTTTGAGGGTAAAAGCGATATATGCGATATATTTTAATGCCGAAAAAGTGTCGACATATTCACAGAGTGGCGCACATGTTTTATTTTTGAAAAATATTCCAGTGATAACCCATATGCACGTCCTTGATGAATTTATCGACACGTTTTTAGCATTAAAATAGGTAGCACTTATAGTAACTCTTACACTTAAAATTGAATTCGAATCACTAAAAGTGCCTGGAAGAAAGTTATAACAAATCGAAATATTATTAAAACTTTAACACCCTGTAACTACGAAACAAAGCAGAATCGGACCTATATTGATACGAAAAAAAATACTTTTACGTGAGGAATCTCCCCATGAGAGATGGCACATATTTTTTGAAACACCCTGTATAAGATCACTAAAGATGTAAAAAAGAAAAGCTCACATTAACCTTATAAAGTCAAAGACTTAAAAGGCGGTAAAAACAATTGGTTTAAAAATGCGAAGATGGTTTAGACAGTGCGACAGTGGTAAGGCACAAAATTAATCAAATAGGCACAAAAAGACTATTTAAAATTACACTATAAAAAATCCTCTGAAATTTAAAATATCTCTGTAATTAAGTAAGTAACAAAACTCTGATTAAAAGGCAATTTAAAAAAATATATCATCTGTTTAATCTCTCACTAGAGATTAAAAAAACACTTTCATTTTGAAAATCTCTCGAGACAACAAAAAAGGTAGAAGTGTTTTATAATTAATTAGATATTACTTTGATTATATTGCATAGGTGCCCTTAATCAATTGTAAGATACATAGAAAGTAACATCACTAACCTTGATTAGAATGTGTATTGTAAATATTGAATGGAAAATTAAAGAGGGATAAACTTGTCGATGAATTTTAAGAATACTTTAAATATTCTTGTTTTACCTGGTACTATACGGATTATATTATTAAAACTTTATGATTGGATGTAAAACTGGAAATAGTATAGACAACTAATACACAGCTCGGGACACTCTGCTCTGCTACTAGGATACAGCTCGGGATCTATACTACCAAAAATTAATCGAAGAATTAAGTTAGCTTATATTGACAATTATACTGATGGAAGAAACTCAATCATATTCAAATCTAGAATGCCACTTTATCTAGAGAACAAAACATTCGACCAATGTGTACTACCATGTCATGACCTATGCATGCGAAACCTGGATACTTAAAACGGACATATTAAGGAAACTGCGGGTCGCACAATGCTCAATGGGACGAAATATGCTGGGAATAACCAAGAAAGACCGTAAAAGACTAGAGTGGATGCGACAAAAAAACCAGGTAATAGATGTCATCCACAGACAAAACTACAAAGAGAGTATCTAAATATGAAAGGGAGGCTACAAACCTAGTAGTATTATAATTGGAAATGGTTGAATAATATCAGAATGATGATTAATAAAAGGTGCCCGGTGGCGTAGAGGTACAGGCTCTCGTCTACCAATCTCAAGGTGTGGGTTCGATTCCCACACCCGGCATTTCATCAGCCGACTATTTTTATTAAAATAAAAATAGTTTGGGTACCTAGGTCGACTCAGCCTTAAATGGGTACTTGGGATTCACAATACTGAGGTAATAATAGGCGGTTGAAGCGAAGTGCTAGCCACATTATCTTCCTTGAATATATATACCGAACGGCTCTAGTATAGCAAGCTGTACCTTGCTACTCCCAAGGCGTTAAGCGCTATATACGGGAGCTGTTATTATTATTATTATGATTAATGAAAGATCAAAAGTCAAAACACACAGTCTTCCTTCAAAACTGCCACATAGGGACACACTAGCTTCATGCTAGAAACAAAATGATCGGCATTGAACAGATAATATTTTTATTTAATTTAGAATTAAAATAGCGCATCTGTCGTTGTATAGGACCGGCAATTGTTTCCTCGGAGGTCACAGCTTTGTAAATCTTGAATATGTTGCCGGCAAGAGAATAACGGAAGTCACCCGTTACCTTAATGCCACCGAATGGCTGTAAACATTTAACAATCCAACTTTGCCATCCCTAGGGATAGGGTTTCAGAGTGAGTGGTATCAAAACGACAATTCTGCTAATTGGAGTTCGACAAGCGGTCGCACTCGCCACTTCAACCAATCAGTATCTTTTTTACAAAGCAAAAACTACATACTTTGTAATTTCTTGAATTTGCGAATAAAGCAACAAAACTAGACACAAATTTCAAATAATACAATATAAAGTAAACTTAAAAATACTAAATACAACTCAACAGTAGTTACAATTCCCCCTTTGTTCCAATACTACTGATTTATTTCGCTGCATCGTTATGTTTTCGTTGTCTGCCGACAACGCGACGTGGCCGATTGGCTGTCAAAGATTCAGTTTCGTGGACAGGGGTATAGATTCATTCTATTCGGTAGGTTTTATATTTCATATCAATTAAACTTTTTAGTTACGTAATCGAGGGCGCGATTATTAAATTCATTGCAGTATTAGGTGGTAATAAATATACATATTCAAAAAATACATGTTTTTGAAAGTTGAAACGTATATTTTTTGAATGATGGTCGGAAAGTGATGTAGATTATATAATTAAAATAAATTAATCGTACTTTTATACAGGGTGTTTGTTGAAATAAGTCACTAATATAGTGGATGTTCTAAACGATATGCTAGTATTTAGGAGATGATTCTTAAACCCATTTTAAGAAAAAAAAATCATATTGATGTATGTCTCAAACGAGTAAGAAAAACTCTCACAGTTTTAATTTTATTTTTGAACTTGGTATACCTTCTGTAGAAGTTCAGAATCGCTAAATACACTATTTGTTACATTACATCTTCTTTTCTATAAACTGTTTGATAGCATAAATAAAGTCTATACAAGATATTGTCTTATATACCCACTTATTACCTTAAAAAAGTACTTAGGAGTATATTTCGTAGCCCCGTCACACATGAATCATCTGACCGCCTCGCCGCCTGTCGACAAATCGGCAGCGCCCTCTAATTTTCGACCCATAGCCGACGGAGCCTGAAAACGATGCGGTCGGTGCCGATCCCAATCTTGCCTTGTTTACTTATTAATTTGCGGAACGAATGGGCGAAAAGGGAGCAACAAAACAAGCGGAACGGCGCGAGAATGCCGATAGGGGCGGTTAGTTTATGAGAACGTGCCGATCATTAATGGGAACGCCAAAGGTTCTTTTTAGATGCACGTATGCGGTACGAAAAAAGGTTATGAGCGACTTTTGACCGTTGATAAATAAGCCATTCTTCATTAAAATAGTCTTATGTAGAACTGGAAGCTCGTAAATAAAAATGGAGTAAGTTCTTGGACTTGCATCGTCTTTATAGTACTGAAATTTAACACATTTTGATTTGCCTGTATCACAAATCGTTATCAAGAAAAATCTGAAATAACATCATCAGATAGTACTCTAAAGACTACTTCTTCTTCTTCCTCAGCCTGGTTCCATCCAGTGTTGGATATAGGTATCTTCTAGGTTTTTCCATGCTTCGCGATCTCTAGCCAATCTTATCCATTGTCTTCCTGCCACTGTTCTGACGTCGACTCATCTCTTTTTTGGTCGGCCCACACTTCTTGTTGTTCCCCTATGTCTCCATAGAATGACTTTTTGGAACCATCGGTCTGGATCCTGTCTTGCACATGTCCGATCCATTGCCACTTCAAACTTGCCACTCTTTTAACAGCATCTAGTAGTTTTGTTTTTGACGTATGTGGGTGTTCAGTATTTTTTCCCTGATTGTGACTCCTAACATGATTCTTTCCATGGCTCTTTGTGCAACTCGTAGTTGTTCTGCTGTTTTTCGGGTTATTGCCATTTTTATGAATATGCTTTCGCATAATTCACCTTTCGAAGAACGAAATAATTATTGTGGAAGTTCCTCAGTCTCCCAGAATCTTTTAATAGTAATCGAAACCATGATCGAAACGGCATTCAGTTGGGTTGACAATTGATGACATTTCTCATGTCGGTCGTCATCATCATCATCATTCTCAGCTTATTGAACCATTTCCAATTATGGTGTAGCCTCCCTCAAATATTTAGATACTCTCTTTGTAGTTTGACCCATTGTTGTATATTGTTGGCTGTGTATTAAATATTACAGTTAAAAAAGAAACAGGAAGTTCCTATTAACATATCTCCTAAAATGCTTCCTGAAGAAGTTACAACCCTCGAAGTGTTAAATAAAAATAATATACAGGGTGGTCCGAACCGTATTCCTGAAACTTCGGCAGCATATTTTGCAGATAAAAATAAGTAAAAAAGTTCGTATAAATGTGTACTAATATGCTTAATTCCGGAGATACAGGGTGTAGAAGTTTCATTTTTATTTCCATTTTTTCAAAATAATTTCTGAAGTAACGTCAATATATTGATGAAAATTGGTGTATGTGAGTTTTTTGGCATGAGAAATTTGATTTTAATGTCAATATGATTCGTACTCGCAGAGGACGCCACGTACATATTTTTAACTGGTTTGAAAAGTAATAACTTTTCGTTCGTATTTGTTTAAAACTACTTAGTACAAAATATATACATTTACGACGTTTTTTTACGTAAAAAGAGTCTCTTGGTAAAAATGGTTATTAGTAATGGTTCTCGAGATATTTGGAATCGAAATTAACAATACCTGTTATCATGGACTTATTAAATATGTTGACTAAATAGTTATTAGACTCAAATCATAAATTTGAAATGTTTTTGTACCAAAAGTTCAACAGAAACTGTTTTATCATTATTTTTTTGAAGAATCTAGTTTCACCAAAACCGAAAGCAAGATTGAAGATGGAACTAGATAGATTAGGCATTTGTTTTCATATTTTGATATTTTTTCAGAGTTGATATACTTAATAAAATATTTTTATTGGGTTACAACATTCACGTACTATGTTTTTAAATTACAGTATCACAATGCATTCCTCCGTCCATCCCTACACGCATAACTGATCTTGTTCTTTAGTCACGTGGCTATAGAGACGACGAAGAAGAAGAAGAAGAGCAAGAAGAAGAAGAATACGGCGCATACAGTATGCGATTCCGGGAAATCCGTCTGAAAACCGTCCGCTTTTAATTGCCGGTAATAAGAAATGCTTTGATACGCGTCGGCACACCACTCAATTCTAACTTTCAATGCAACTCCGACCGATCGATTCTTTTTTCTTTCTTTTTTCCTGCCCTGTATGTGTAACAAGGCAAGACAATAAAAACGATTGCCGGTAATTACAGAAGCAGTTGAGGGGTTAAGGGCGCTAATAGATTTACCCATTCCCAGAATTAATTTCAATAAAACGATGAGAAGTAGAATTTAATTCATTACCGGGTGGTTGAAGGAGATCGTCTTATTAATGCTATAATGAATTCCGCCTTTATTCACGATTATATTATTAGTACCGATCTCGAATATATCAGTTTAGCAGACAGAGAGTACTACTTAGCAACAATATTTTAATAATACTCGTTCCTGAGAGATTTTTTTTGGTATTTGTCTCTCCAAAACCAAAATAACCATTATACAGTGAAATTTCTCTATTTCGTTTCCTAAAGCTTTATTCAGAACCTCGCAATTAGTAGAATAAATTAAGGTCCCCCTGGGTAATAAGGCCCGGTCAGGTAATAAAGCCCACGCGTTGATTTACGTAAATAATTCATTTAAAAGTATTTTGGCGACATCTATTTATTTGTATGTGGCATACCTTAGAAATCCTTGTCGATAAAGTAGACCCAAATCCAGTAGTTTTCAACAGACGCAATTAAATGTTCTCTTGCGAGTTTCATCGCGTCGAAATTATAAATTTTGTTCAAGTTGGGGACCGGATTTTTCAGAAAAAAAGTGTCAGATCGTTAATTTCAATACAGGTAAGTTTTAGCTTATTCAATAATGTATCTATTACGCCATTGCTCAAAGTTATAATGTGTTTTTGTAAACGTAACCTAACCCCCAAATGTTTTCATTGTTATGTGGGAAATAAGGCCCAGACAAAAATCAGTTGGGCCTTATTACCCCTTACTTAGTTTCAACGGGCCTTTTTACCTACTGTACGTTTTCTTCTTTGTTTTCTTGTAGGAATATGGGTAAAAAATGTCGTGGCATCAGGGCCAATTGGTCTGATGAGATGATGGAAGAAGCCCTATTGCTTTTTACGACAAGGAAGATCGCAACGATATGTGGAAAATAGATGTGGTATTCCACGTTGCACTCTTAGAAACCATTTAAAAACCGGAGCCGTGAAAAGAAAATTGGGAGCAAAGCCTACCTTGAATGAAGATCAAGAAGCTGATTTAGTTCAGAAAATTATTAAATTTTCCGAAATTCGATTTCCTTTGACCCCCGAATCATTACGAAGAACTGTATATAGATATGTAGAAAATAAATGTATTACCAGCCGTTTCAATACAGAAAAAAAAAATTGCTGGACGTGACTGGTATAAAGCCTTCATGAAGCGACATTCTTGTTTATCTCAACGGAAAGCCCAATCGATGAATCCTGCTAGGGAGGCGAAGCTCAATCCTTTATTGTTGGCGACTATTTTCAAAAACTAAATAACGTTTTGGAAAAATACGACTTGAAACATCAACCTGCAAAAAATATTCAACATGGATGAAAAGGGATGCAGACTAACCTTGCACCACCAACAATATTGCCCAAAAAGGTAACAAACGTCTTCACCTGGTTGCTCCAGAGTACGCCGAAAATTGTACAATCGTCACTTGTGCGAACGCTCTAGGGAATGCCATTCCGCCGATGATTTTATTTAAAGGGCAATGGATCAAACCGACGTTTAGTGATGGGTTACCACCGGGATCTCAAGTGAGGATGGCTCCAAAAGGTAGCATGACCACCAGCTTGTTTATTGAATGGCTCCATCATTTTTCCAACTTTATTCAGCCGCCAGTTCTACTGATATTTGACGGTGCCGCGTCACATCTCGACATTTCCATTGTCGATGCTGCCGAGCCATTGGGAATCCATTTATTGTGTCTTCCGTCAAATACCACCCACGAACTACAACCCCTCGACAAAAGTGTGTTTCGCTTTTTCGAACATTATTGGGATGAGGAGTTGTTACGGTATTGGGATAAATATCCGGATAGGAAGATGAATAAAGAAAGGTTTTCCGAAGTTTTCACGCCAGTTTGGAGTAGATGCATGACCATGGCTAATATAACGCATGGATTCAGAGCCACAGGGATTTACCCATTTGATAAAAATGTCATTCCTGAACACGCTTATGGACCAAGCGTTCCGATGCAGCAGAATCATACTCAAAACGGACCCGAAGGCAACGATGAAAACTCTTCTGATTCAGATGATGACGTGCCTCTTGCAGTTTTACAACGTCAGTTAACTAAGCACGTTACACCCTTGAAGAAAAACACTTTTCGGAGATTCTTGTAACTCCTGATGCCGGCCACCGAAAAACAAACCAAAAGATAAAATCATTGAATTACAAAGCACAAGAAGTAACACGGGACATTTTTCGCACCGTTCCAAATAAAGAGCATTCTTCAAAGGTACTGATGCCTGGTTCCAGTTTGACCTCCAAACTAGTTCATAGGAAGACTGTTTCTGCAAACCTACCTAACAGCAGCTCAGACCCTACAAACATTGTTGAAGATGATGACGATTGGTCTTGCGTCATCTGCCATGAAGACAAGGTAGCAGCTGATATGAGGCAATGCAAAGTATGCTTCTCGTGGATACATGATGAGTGTATGGGACTTACTCGAGGTGATGAGGAATCAGTGACTTGTTTGGATTGCGATGATTAGTTGTGCCCTTTTGCCTTTTTACTTCCGCAGAAATGAAGGGGGCCTTAATACTCCCCCTGTTGGTTATAAGGCCCAAAAACTACTTGAGTTCAACTCTAGTTTTAAGAAAACTTATTTTATATTTTGTTGAGAGTTCTTTTTTTTATGATCTTATAAACAACTTTTTCAAATAAAAAATAATAATGCAACTTTTCAGTTTTATTTGAGGTTTTTATTTGAATGTTTAGTTATGATGGACCTTAATACCCGCAGGGACCTTAGTGGTTTCAATTAAATTTATACTTTTTGCTTGGCAATCATTCGCAATATCTAAAAACACAATTAAGATTAATAGAATATCCTAGCGTTAGTCAGCCTTTTAAGATCATCAATATCAGTAGGTTGGTGTTCTATAAACATTGGATTTAAGATGTCCCCAAAGAAAGAAATCTAAGATAATTTGCGACAGAAAAAAACTTGTTAGTCTCTTTACACGCATCTCACTGGACTTTTATCGGTTGTAGTAGAATGTAGAATGTTTAGGAGGGGAGTTAATCACCGCGACCTTACAGATCTATTGTGTATTCCACTTTCTTGAGTTATAACGAGTCATAACTCATCATACAGTCTCAAGGCTCTAACAAAAGCCAGTATCTGAGACGGCTCCACAGAGGCCAGCTCTCCATCCTCGACATCAGCCGTACCAAAGGTCATGGCACGAATGGTTGTCATCTCGGCGCACTCAGCGATAAGGTGTTCTGGTGTTTGCCCATCTTCCCAACAGAATCTGCATTCGCCGTTGTTTCTCAGCTTCAGTCTACTGAGGTGCTCGTTAAGGAGACAGTGTCCTGTTAGAAACCCCGTGACAATCCGAAAATTGTTTTTACTTAAATCAAGGAAAACCTTTGATTTTTATCGGTCGTAAGTTCTGAGGAACTTTTTCGAGTGTCTTAGACCGTTGGAGGATACCCATTCCAAATCGGTTGTAATAAAGGTGGCGAGATTTTTAAAGTTACATTTTTTTCAGAAAGGTTATTGAATTTTCTTTTTAGACCTTAATTTGATGTATTTTTCTGTCAATAAAATTTTATCTAACTCGAATTCTATTTTTGGTCCCTTGAGATTCGAATTCGGCAACTTCCAATGTATCTACAAAAATTACTCTTCGACAGTCGTTTGCAATTGTATTTTACTTATATTACTTTATAAGAAATATTATTATTATCATCATAATTGCTTTGTTCCAATACTTAATAGACCAATTTAATAAAAATAATATAAAAAAGATAATCATCAGAAACCAGAATAATGAAGAGCAATTATTTATGCACAACATTCCTTAAAACAGGAATTGTCCAAGAACAAGAAGAACCTCAGGCAGAATAAGAACCCAGAGACTGATCCAGAAGTCGCAATACCTACAGAGGGAGATTGATTGTAGTTAAAGTTAGTTCTGTATTTAGTGCAACACAAAGTAAAATACAAAACACGCTAGACACTGCACAACCACGACAGCAAGCTGACCTTAGAAGCAGCTTCAGCACCATTCATCACTTACATACGCTAAGAGAAACTACCAGCCTAACAAAGGAATGCGAACACTAGCCATTGCCTTTTAAACGTTGAGAAGGCTTTCCACTCGATATATCCTAAGGTAATAATAGAAGCCCTAGCGAATCAAGGTATTGACAGGCCTTACATAGAAACTGTCGCCAATATATACTAAGAAGCCAAAGCTAGAGTAATGATATATAAAACAACCCCAGAGTTCCCAACTGGCAAAGGAGTACGACAGGGAGGAGCAATATCCCCAAAGTTGTTTCCATCAACACTAGTTAAAGACACTATTAATTGAGACGAAGGTGGCAACAGAAGAGAATGTATGAACATGTTCACATATCATAAATTGGTCCTCAAATTATCAATATTTAACATTAAAAAATAGATTATTACTTTAGAAAACTGTGATAATACCTAAAAAACTATTAGTATTATTTACTAATAATTGTATTAGTAATAAAATTATTAGTAAATATTATTAGTATATTATTAAACCTGGAGTGAATTTTTAATGATTATTTGAGAAGAGCGGATTTTCCGAAAGTGTGCTATGTGTCTAATGTGATTTAAGTACGAAGTGTCTCTTAACTGTCCCAAGTGTCTCTCTAAGAGTCCCTTAAGTACGACTATATCATTAGAAATAATGTGTATACTTTTGTGGCGCGCTCATTTCGCCAAGTAGTTATTTTTAGAAATTGATTTTGCATAAAAAAGGTATGGACACACTGGATTCCGTTAGAACACAATTACCCTTTTCTCTTTTCCAGATATTTGTTTCAGTGGTGAAATTTCCAGATAAAAAATTATACAGTATCCACAGTTTCCAACTATTAAATATCATTGTTTATCTATCTATTTATGCCAGTTTTTTTGCCTTACAAAAATATTCTGTTAGAAAATTGAAATAAAATATTTTCTAATATTGAATGCCAAAATTAACAGTTCGCCATATGCATAGATTTGAAAATCTAAATAACCAACGATTTATTGACCATTATTTCGTTCGTTTTAATGGGTAAATTTTAGAATACGCTAATAATAATAATATATATTGAATACAAACCATTTTAAAAATAATATGTTGAATAGAAGTGTTACAATGACATACTGAAATATTATATATAATTATTTAATACTTAATATTAATTAACTATTATGAATGATATTTCTGTCGCAAATGTTATGGTTTTATTTTATACAAAGCACAATGATTTTTATTCAATCAACAGCTAAGCCTTTCTTGTATTTGTACTCTTCATTTTGAGCAGCTAAAAAACGGCAAAAGAATGTCATAAAGACAACCGCACACATCGGGACACGGTACTGCACGTACTATAAAATTCTTGCCCTCCGAGAGTGACGCAAAAACGAGCGTTTTAGAAACAGACAAGCTAATTAAACAATATTTTAAATTGCTCGTTGCATAATTCGGCCGGATTACTACAGAAAGAGAATTTTTATTTGATATCTTAATGCGATTGCTTTCAAGGGAAACAAATATAAAGTTTGTAATCGTAACTATTAGTTATGTCTTTCTGGAAAAGCCCCTTTTATCTGGTTTATGACAATGAAAGGCCATGACAATGTGACTGTCACTAGCGATTGCTACCTTACACTAGTTGTAAAACCTTACCTAACACTTAGTTGTAAATGTGGATAAATTTCTTTAAAATTGGTTTAATGTCATTTTCTTTTTAACACTTGCTGAATTTTGTTAACACCCTGTATTTCAGAACCCAAAGAGGCTAGGACAACTCTGTGTGTATATCTGAATATGCGTCTGTGTGGACCGTCTGGCCGTCGGTAGACGTTACGTTCACTACTACGCATCATATCTGTATTCAACATCTGTTCACTACCACGCATCACAAACTTGCCCTGTATTTTAGGAACTAAGGAGGCTAGAACAAACATATGTGCATATTTAGTTTCATAAAAAAATAGCACAGTTAAATCCCCATTTTTGTATCTCTACTCATCCACGAGTAACCCTATAATAGATATGAATATGGGACACCCTGTACATTAACGGAGAATGTTTAAAAATATTACACATAAAATAGCGGAATAATATTGTATATTTTTAAAATTCATACAGGTATCTGCATAATATAAGAGATATATTAGGTAGTACTGGCACAAATTAACTACAAGTACTGGTATTGGTAAACTAAATTTACTATTAATATTTTATCATAAATAAATTAATATCTATACTTATTATTAATTGGATATTACAAAATCTGTAACGAAAAAATGTCAGATGTTATAATGTTAGAAAATTACATGAAAAAAAATGTAAACCAAAGAGTTCAAATTTTTACGTGTTTTATAAATCTGATTGAGGTCTATCAATAATTATTATTGAAGGAAATTATAAACTGCAATCATTTGATGATACCGTTAAATCAGTCAGTCACATCTTAAAATACAGTTTTATTTTTATTCTGCAATAAAAATCTCAACATGCAATAGGAACAGATATTTTTAATATAAACATAAATATGATTCTAGATTTAAAACTGTAATTTTCCATTTCCACTATATGGTACGATGATACGCATATTTTTTTTATAAAATTGTTAGTTTTTCTGTATTACATTTTAAAGAATTTAGTGTAATGAAGAATTTATTGTAAATATTCATTATTAAAATAACATAAAATCTCTAATCATTTCGTTCAAAACTTTTTTTGCATATCATGATTGTTTTTAAATGATTAATGTCTATACCTTTGTGATGGATTCAGTTCTTTTACATTGGCGAAATGCCGAGAAAACTTTTTTGAAGAAATTATTGTTTTTCTTTCAAATATTCTAGATTCAGTGTCGATAAAACCCCGGAACTAATTAGGATTTCAAAAAAATAAATACAGGGTGAGTCATAAATAAGTGCAAATATGTTTAGGGCTGGTAGATCTCCATAAAAGGAACATATTTTCTCTTTACCGTTTTTCAAATAAGTTCAAAATAACTGAGGTATTATTCTATGAAAATTTAAAAAAATTGACTTTTCTCGTAAATTTTGAGAACCGTTGGATCTTTTCTGGGTTTTCTTTCTTGCAAATTTAATTTACTACCTATGTTG